TGCCTGCCTCTACATGTACTTAAGCACACACACAAAGTAGGATAACCAAAGCTCTTCTACTATGAGATGTGTTCCCATGTAGCCAGAAGAGTTTCCAGTGTGAGACTCAGGTAAATGTTTCCTGAGAGTTAATGTGAAATCTGACTAATCATTTATGGTATTGTGTTAATTGCTATAATCACTCCTCTCCCATATATACATCTAAGTGATTCACTGAGCAGATGGATTAAGTAAAACATGTAAGTAAGAATTGATGATGGCATTTCAGAAATATTGACCCTGTGGTTGAGATGGGGCCCAAGTAGATGGGAGGGCTTTGGCAGTCAAAATGGGTCATAGTGTTCAAGGTAGAGGAAAAAGAATATTAGGGTGTGGGCAAGGGGAAAATGGGAAAGTTGAAGGAGTCTAAAGAGAAAGAACTGTAAGTGGGATCTGAATATGACTTGCAAAATTTGGTGTCACACAGCCTTATCCACTTGGTGTAAGAGGTTTCTAACAGGATGAAAGAGAATAAATCACCTCTGAACCCACAGAGTACAACAGTTAGAAGTTTCACAGCCACCAGTGCAACTGTCATTTCTGGCAACTGTATTTCCTTCCTCCTCTGCCTTCCCCCTTCCTCAGTTTCTGCTGAGGGTGAGGGGTCCCGCTTCCCTCTGTCTTGCACTCAATTCATCCGTACAAGATGTTTGTGTGTTATGCCAAGGAAGGCCCTCTTCCCAAATTCTCTTCCTCAGAGTGTCTAGACTACCTTGCCTCCTATAGCACTGGTTGGCTTAGGAGGGTTGAGGCTTTCAGCTAATCCTTCAGCCTGATGAGAGGACAGCAAGATAATCAGACTTACCCACACGGAGACTAAATGCCATTTCCTTCATGAAATCCACCACTTGTCTTTTCCTTCAACTTTTTGGTACTGTAGTTTTTCTTCCTAACACATGTCAAAATTTACCTGATAATTTTGCAATTATTTGCATACCTCTGTGCTACCAAGCCCTTTGCCCAAAATGCCCAATTTGTCTTAATTTAGCTCCAGCATTGGCTGGTCTTCTTTTGCAGACTTTCTGTCTCCACACCTCACCATTCCACCAGAGTCTAATGCCTTTGCTTCTCTTCCCACCTGGGCACAACTCTTTTCTCATTTGATCTGATTTATTTGTTTAGCACATTCACTAAACTACTATAAAGCATTTGGTTGAAGCAAACAAAATACAAAAACACAAAAAAGAACCTCTACTGTAGTGTCTGTCACTCAGGAAAGTCTCAATAAACCTTAAGTAGGTAATTTATTTTCTGTGGGGAAGAGGAAGTTTGTGTCATTTTCTGTATTCTTCTTAGAGCAACATGAAACCACCACATTGCAGATATGAGAATAACTATAAATAGTATCAAGGGAATACCTTTGTAAAACAAAATACAGAAGATGTTGAATAAAGAGAAAAAAATAAGAGTGCAATGTGTTTTCAACAAAATATGAACTGGGGTCAGTTGGGAAAGGAAGTGATAGCTAGAGGAAAGAGTGAAAGAAGAGAAATAACATTAACCAGCATGGGGGAAAGCAGCTTAAAGAAAGATCTAAAGGAGGAATTTTGAAATTCCTTCCTGCAGATTGTTCGCTAGAAAACAGGTGAGGAAACCAGATAAGAGTCTTTTTCAAGAAATCCAGCCTGTTGACGGAAACCCATCCCCAAACAAATTATGGGTTAATTGTGAAATCAATACAAAAATGCAGATGTTGATTGGATGCTGAAATGTGTGCAGTCTGAGGAAGCAACATTTCCTATAAATGGCACATGGTGAGGCTATGTAAATTCAGTGGCTTCACGCTTTTGGTCAGAAGATAGTGGCTTTAGCCAGAGTATTTCCCTCACCAGTGTGACAAGCACACTATCTTTGAAGTACAAATCCAATGAATAATGTGGAAGATCAAGCCTTGAATGAACTCCAAGGAGAATGCAGATTCTTTTAGAAAAGATTTATATGTTTAATCCTTGATTCTCCTCAAGCATCATCCACATCCCTTGGGCATTAGATCATACCAAAGCATTTACATTGCTGCCTATTTGCCTGAAACTTTGGAGCTCTGTAAATCTGCAGTAGTACTTCTCCAGCTCACAGTTTTTTAGCACAGCGGTATCAGAAGTGAAAAGGACGGTGCAGATCATAGTGGTACTCTTGGCTGACCATGCACCCTCACAGTTTTCTTCCAAAGATAGAACAAGGGGCCATGGACTTGTTCAAGGTCATGAAGGTGGACATTAGAGACTGCTGCCACTATAAGTCATCATGAGTTCTTTTTATGCAACTAGTCTAATTATAATGAATCCAAGGTCTCCATCACAATCACAGTGCCTAGATTCTCATTGTTTCATTCATAATTACTTCATTCACTGAAACTCTGAAAAAAACATGCTTTTATTAGTAGCACTTTATCATTGTAAAAAATCTATAGATTTGCTTTATTTTGAAATAACATCTTCTTGGCTATGAAAAATTGATGGCCTCGATAATAAATAATACACAGAATAAAACCAAAAATGTATTATCCTGTACTGGGGTATATGGAAAAATAACTATTCATATCATCTGCCTTTGATTGCATTTACTTTTTAAAACACCCTGATATATTTAACCTTCTATATCTTATTCTAGTTATATATAGAGGTAAGTTCCCTTATGCATACATTAGTGGTCGGGTTCGATCCATTTAAAAATTCTATTAAATGTAGTTCTAATCATGTTTCTATGGAATAGTGGGGATAAGACTTCCTTATTTTATTACTTCAAAGTTGTATTTCCAATGTTGTCGAAAGAGTCTTTTTATTCTCAAATAAGTTTTTAAAATATGTCACTCATAGAATTATGAAAATGAATATATTTTAAATAAATGAAAATAAAATAAATAGAAAAATAATTTGGTTCAGGAATTCTTAATACAACTATCCTGTAAACAACTTAGTTGAGACTTTTCCGGTAGCTCAGATGGTAAAAAATTCACCTTCAATGCAGGAGATCCAGTTTCAATCCCTGGATCAGGAAGATCCCCTGGAGAAGTTAGGTATTACTAAAGTACAATGAAGTGCAGTTGTTTAAAGTGTACAATTTGATCATTTTTAATACTTGTATATTGTTGTTAAACCATCATCACAATCAAGATAACAAACACATCCATCACCCCCAAAAGGTTCTTTGTATCCAGAGTCTACCCTGTCCCTAGACAATCTTTGTTTTGTCTGTTTACTTTGTTAGTTTGTATTTTCAAAAATATTGTATAAGTGAAATCCTAAGTACTCAATGAGAACTTTTTAGGGAGAGGGATTGGTTTCTTTTACTCTGCCCAGGAAGTTTGCAATTCATCCATGTAATTGCATGCATTAGTAGTCCATTTTTTATTGTTGAGTTATATTGTGTAGATAAACCAGAATTTTTCTATCAATTCATCTGTTGGTGGACTTATGGGTCGTTTTGGGGTTTTTTTTTAGTGAGGGGGTAAAATAAATATTCCACTTCTTTGTGTTCACTGTACTTAAGAAAATTTTTAGTCCTTCCAATACTCATTTTTCTTCTCTATAAAAACATGAGTATAATGTGAATATCATAGGAGCTTTGTAAGGATTAAACCAGCTAAATGCCTGGCACATAGTAAATACTCAATAAATATTAACTTTCTTTGAATTATCAGTCAGTTGCCTAATTGGTATCAGTTTTTCCTGATACCACTTTTCCTCCCATTAAAATGCTTTTATTTTTTCCTAATTATTTTCGTGTCCACTCAACCAGAACATTGCTAGAATTCTAACCTGGTTGTCTGTCCAACCAGTGTAGAGGTACCAATACAATTGGCTCCTTAAAATATAATCCTTCTTTAGGATTATGTTGACTTCTAAAACTGACTGATGACAGTTTTTTCTAATGTTGTACCCATTTGACCACGTTAGCGCTGAAGCATCTATATCGGTGAGAGATGGAGGCAACACTCAGGCTAGAAACGGGTCTGTTTCTAGAAACTTAGAAGCTATATTTGCATTGCAAATGTTCTATTTTAAATGAGTGGATGTATTCATTTGAGGAACTTGTGGGCAGGAGCAGCTGAAAAGGATTATGTATTTGGGAAGCAACTAAAAGCCCTCTTGGTCCACCCACCCAATTTATTTTCTTTGTTTTCTTTTTCTGAAGTATTCTTGTTTCATAGTCACTCCTTTAAACTTTGCCCATGCTGGATTTTCCTGGCTGAATCAGACTCCTTCCAATAAAATAAATGTAAATAAATAAATAAACAGTGTTGTTGTGTTGATTTTCTCTTTCTTCATAAATATTATATTCAATAAGTTATTAATACTAAATCTAGTTCAGTTGGCAGATGGCAGTGGACAAAGGAATTTTAATTTTTCCCTGTGGATATTCCAAGTAGAGGTGGGGGCTGGGACTCTGAACCAGGCTAATGAGGCCAAGCCAACATATTTGATAGTCAGTGGGACCAGCTTGGTTTGCTCTAAAGCCAATTTTATACACTTAAATTTGACCTTATTCACAGTTTTTTGTTTTTTTTTTCCCACTAAAAAAAAAAAAGGTGCCAGTAATAGTATCTGAAAGTGGTGTGGGATGAGTTGGCTAACAGATCAAAGACATTGTGAATGAAAAAAGCATATACCCTGAAGATGCTTAGTTGGCAATAGAATTTCTATATAAGGGAGATCATATTGTATTGTCATTAGGTGTTTCTTAATCAAATTAAGGAACTACACAGAATTTGAGTGTATTATATATGAATTGAAATCCTCTGGCATGCATACAGTTGGAATATAGAGGTCCCAACTGATAAAAAACAAACAAACAAAAGAACACACTGCAAAGTAACTAACTTCTTCCTCACCACTCAAAGAGGCAGAGACTTTATGCCATTTTTGTACCTTAATGATTAATAGAGATGTCCACTCCACCAGGAGTTTTTCATAGAAAATTATGTATATTTAGAATAATATAATGCTTTTATCTTTTATCAGGATAACACTGTAATATGCAGAAATCTACAAATTTTGATACCCCTGTGGAAACACTGAATCCCACCCGCCAAGGCACTGGAGCTGTGCAAATGAGAATCAAAAATGCCAACAGCCACCATGACAGGCTGAGCCAAAGTAAATCTATGATCCTCACCGACGTTGGGAAGGTCACTGAACCTGTAAGTCAGATACCCCAGGTTCCCTGATACAGAATTTTATAAAAAGTAAAAAGAGGGAGGGGGGCTAATTAGCCTTGTTTTATTTGTTTTTCTAATGTGCATGAGAAAACTGTTTTTGTAATGCATTTTATCTTGCCTACTTATAGTCATAATAATATCCCCAGTTGCAAAAGAAGCGCTGGGCTTAATCCAGAGTGATAAAGTGGATTTGGAACTAGACTGAAGAGCACCTTTGACTCATTTTAAGGGCCTCCACTATCATGCTTCAGTGTCATAAAAATAATGAGGTTATGCTAGCGTGTGGCGTTTGTACTTCCAAATACAGTACATCACTTTGAAGAGCCAGAGGCTAAAATTAGCTAAGAATAAACTGAGAAAAAATATATTTTTTAAATGTGAAAATCTCTTCCTTAAAAATCTTCCAACAATATATGATATTGGAAATTTCAGTCTGATTTGGAATGAGTTTGAGCGGTGGAAGTGGTGTGGCAATTTAAGGTTTGGAGAGGAAGCCATTTTGTCTCCATAATGTGTCATTAGGAAGATTTGAAATAAAATAGTTAGAAATGAACTCTACTGCCAATTGTGTCCCTGCCCCTGCACTCATCCTGAGCCACTAAACATACTGATTGCAATGAGTCTCCTCTGGTTAATTTTCTTCCATAATGGTGGTAACTTGCAGCTGAGGCCATAGGATGTTACAAAATTATTTATGCAATGTTAGCCACTCTTTTGGACCCCGGATCTGTTTTGTTGCTCACAGTGAGAGCAAGAGCAAGAGATAGGTTAGCCGGGGATAGCCTGTGAGTCCCAGTCACCCTGCAGTAACATGTGAGCTATTAATTGAGTGTTCTGTTAATATCATAGGGGCCTATGAAATATTCAGCTCCCTAACTGAGTTATTAAATGAGATCAACTTGCTGAGTAGCATGTTACTGATTATATTTATTCCCTGCTTTTCACTTGAATTTCAAGTGCAAAATTAACCCACCACAATTTCAGGAGCCTGAGGAATATATGATTGTAACTATTCTTTCTTCAGGTATTATAGACAGATTTAGCATGAGGAAGCCAGTGATTATATTTTGGAAGTGAGAAATATGTCCCTGGATAAGGTTCTGAGAGAAACATTTTTCTTTCTTTCTTTTCTCCTTTAAAAGTATTGTCTGCTGGGAGGCACAACACAGTCAGCCTGACTTTGAAACCTGCTAAACCGTTCCTCAACCGTGAACTTGAGACAGTGGTTAGAGTAAATTATTGGAATCTCTATAATGTATTATCAGTAAGAACTGTACCTTTGAAAAAGTTTAAAAGTTAAGTATATTTAATGATGCCTAACATATTTTATTGGCTGTGTTTAACAAAAGGCACTATGCCGCAGTTGTTTTTGACAAGCATGAAAACATCACAGCATGAGACTGCAAAAGGAATTATGGAGAGAAATTACAAGTGATCCATCTCTCAATGAATTATCCACCTCAATAGCCCGCAGAACTCAGCTACCAATTAACACCTACTTTATTACATGTTGGGATGTACTTAATAACTTTCATGTGTTTATGCACTATTACCTTGACTGATGCCTCTTGTACAATTAGGCATAATTGGCATATCAATATGCAAAAGTTAAAAGGATTAACCCTCTTAAAACTAATGAGCATTTCTGTATCCAGCTGCTAAATGAGACAAAATTAGCATTTTTCACTTTTGGGCAGGATTTTATCATGCAGTTTCTCATTGTTGATATTACCTTGTTACATAACTTTAGTTTGGGGGGTTGTATGCTGGACTGCTGGAGAATCAGAGTTTTCCAAAGTTAAATTAGCTATAATTATCGCAGCTTTTGTTTCCGCATGCTTAGCCCCGGCAATATGTATTCCTCGATAAGGAACAAAAATAAAAGTTACTTTTGGTTGTGTGTGCTCAGTGCATAATTATATAAAAGGGGTATTTTAGTGAGGATATGTCATTTCACCAAGAAAACTTGGCTCAGAGATACTGTATTGAAAGCTTGCCATGGCACTAATTTTCTTTCTGTCTCAGTTCTTTTCATCTCTTTTTTCCATGCACAATTTTCTGACTAGATACTGACAGAATGTAAAGTATTTTGGCATATTTATTCAAACAAGCCTGTTAAAGATATCTGCTCAAGCTAAACTAAGAACTTGATTTTTCAGAAGTTGGAAGTTGGGATAAGGTCAAGGGGGAGATTTTGAACCTAGGAAAAGTGGGCAAAAATATACACTAAAAGGTGTGCAGAAGTTCACACGTAGCATGATTTTCTGTAACAGAGACAAGTACATTTAATCTGTACAGAAAAAAATTGAGTATTTAGAAACCGTATATGTATTATGCGCCCTATTTCATATATTTGACATATATATACTATTCGTTACTGGCATACCAATTATGCAAATTAACAAGGACTTAGACTATATAATAACACAATCTGATATTACATTACTATGATTTAACTTATTATAAAAAATGATAGTAATTCTAGGGTCAGATTTATTATGTAATTTTGTCATTAATTTATAAAGTCCTCTTTTTAAATTTGATTAATTAAAGTGTGTGTAGTAAGACTGTAAACTCAGAACATAATATAAAACTCTCATATATATGTCATAAGAGCATATGTCCTTGATGTATTAAATCGAGGAGTATTTGAAATGCCAATATAAACATTTATGCAACCCTAAAGTCTGCAAACACAGGTGAATTTACTTGTTGAATTAAAAGTTTCTATTGCCTAAATGCTGCAGGGAAGCATTCCAGTAAAACAGATATCAATAGTCCATTAGTATTTTATTGGTGGCATGCATCATTTTCTTTAAACACCAAAAAATCATTTTTATGTGGTTCATAAGATTGACACCTTTTCAAAATTCAAAGAGGCCACTTTGCTTTCTAAGAAATGTTGGCGAGATGGAAAGTTTGGACATGGAATGACATGGTTAGTAAGAAAATTGCGTATCTGTGAGAACGATCTGGAGGTCTTGGTTTGGTGGGGAGGGAATGCTCTTTGGTCTCAGTGATTTGTTATCTCCCGCCCCCTGCCCCAAGCACCAGAGACCTCTTAAAGGTGGACTGATGGTTTACCCGAACGTGCTAAATACGGAAGCAGAAGGCTGAGTGAGCATAAACAGGGGCAAGTAAAGTGTGGGGCGAAAAAGGCTAATGTGCAATCTAGCGAATACCTAATACAAAAGGTTTAATGTGACTTTGATGTTATTTGTAAGAGGGATGCCCAGCCTACTAGGCAGCTTGAAAATAGATATTAATGAAGAATTTAAATAGCCCAAGTCAGGAAACTGCAGACATAGGATTTGCAGGCAGGAGCAGTTCTGGCATTTAATACTGGTGTCTTAAGCAGCATCATGTATGAATATTCACCATTTCCAGCTTGTAAACCCCACAGAAGTGCATCACTCCATTCATAGCCATCATAGACAAGAAAATGTTTTATTTTTATTAGATTTCAGATAAAGACTTAGATCAAGCCATTTCTAAACATTAATATACAAGATTCCTTGTTCTGTTAACAGTGTTCCTTCCTTTTTCTTTTCAATATATTATAAGGGAAAAAAAGGAAACAATTTTCCTTTGTTTCTTACTTCTGTGATTATAGGATACTTGCCAAAGTTGTGGCTAGCTAAAAAGGCAGACATAAAAATTGCTACTAAAAATATAAGCCTTCTGTTTAGCAGAGATTTTGAGAAATATTATGAGGCTGTAGGACTTATCCCTGTTTACTTCAAATCAAGCTTATAGTTAGGTTTGAGGCTTTGTTTGTATAAATTGTCCTGAAGTGGATCCTGATATTCAATTAAAATGACACTAAATCACATTGAATTGATAAGACTTGGCATCTCAAACAAAGGTAATTGCCCGTATTGGTTTTATACAAAAATAGCACTGCTTGGAAAATGTGCAGCCAACACAGACTGTCAACTCCATTTATAGATCAATATGTGAAAACCATTGATCAGGCAGGCATGTATAACAGTAACACTTTGCATTTATTTGTTGTTTTTATACCACATTAAGGCTTACAGGATTATAGGCTTCCTAAATATTTTGACTTCCTCATAAATATATGATCTGTTGCATGTTAATTAAATGAGAGTCTGCAGCCATTTCTAAAATTGTTTTTAGTTTGATGATTTCCTTTTATTGCTGTGGATCATATGATCTGAAAATGGATTAGTTTCCTTTTGCATGAAGATTATTAAAGCTTATTTTTAATGTGTCCTATTTAGTATAAGATGTGGCTGCCTTTTTGCTTTGAAAAATACAGATACAGAAAATTATTTTCTCTTAGCGAGTGGCTGATCTTTTTTTATTAACTGGGCATTCTCAGAGCTCAGGGTAGAATTATTTCCTGACATATTTTGCACATGTTGTAGATAACGGGTCTTCCTGATTTTTCCTGATAGAATGAATTTGTTTTCTTTCTTTTCTTTTTGTCTAGCTCTGTAGTACAGGCATCTAATCAAACATGTGGAAAACAAACTGATCATCTCAATTAAATTCTAGACACACACAAATATAATTTGAATTCTATTTTCCTGATTGGAGAACAAGCCTTACGAACTGTTCTTATACACTGCATTCTGCAGTTAAATCTTTCTTATCTCATCAATGTAAGGACAGTGTTTTGTTCCTAATCTTTATCGAACTATTGTGGATGACATTTGTAAGCCATTTTGGTTTATGAGGAAAAGCTGGAGGACAGTGGAGTGAGACTCTCCATAGATCCAAATCTCAGATATGACTACGAAATAATGTGTCTTCCACTGCAATTTTCTTTGCCACTGAGAGGTCAGTTTTGTTGAGAAATCCTTTTATATCCTCTAAATACATGAGGACTACTGCTTTCAAGACAACACTTGGTTTTATATACAATATTAAAACAATAATAGAGAAACAAGTTTTCAGAAATAGCCCCCCACCCCCAAAAAAGAAAGAAATCATGATATTCAAAGGTTACCTAAGGT